CAGAACTGGACACAGTGACCCCCTAGCTCCTCCAGCTCCCTTACTCGCCAACACCCCAGCCGTGCCACCAGCCTCCACCCCAGTCCACTCTCGTCATCACCCCTCCTCTCCAGCCAGAAGGTTCTATTCCCTGCCCCCCACCTCTGTCCCTTCATCTTCATCACTCCCCTTACCAGGGATGCAGGCAGGGCTCTTTCCCTCTATTTAAGTCCTACTCTTCCTTCACGGCCTAATTCAAACCCTGCTCCTCCCAGGTGTCTTTGACACCCCCGCTCTCACTGACTTCCCCTGGACTTCTGCAATACCATTTTACTCGTGTGGCACTGAAATGCATTTTAATGAGTCTCCTGAATATTTTACGTCTTGCAGAAAAGTTGCAAGGAGCCAGAGGCCAGGACTCTGTTATTTCGTGTCTAGCACCCCGCGGTGCACATGCGCCCCAGCAAGTATCTGTGAGTTAACAGAGTCAGTGCGTATCACTGTTGTCACGTCGCCGATGGCCGCACACAGGGTGGGAACGCATCTCGTCTGGGCCCCGACATGTAGTCACTCTCAAGCGGCACCTGCAATGTATGCAGCGCAAGCAAAGATTACATCCTCTGAACATCAAGGTCATGCTCTTTCCAAGATCATGCAAGGCCATCCCTGGTGCTGTCTTATTTCTGACCCTCCCCCATAGCTGTTGAACCCTCTTTCCCCACCGTCATACCCAATTCCCCAAATATGCCAAACACTCGCACTTCCATGCCTTTCCATGTGCTGACCCCACTGTCTGAAATGACCTTCCTGTCTTCATTTTCCCTGTCCAAGTCCTGCTCATCCTTGGAGATCAACTCAAACATCACCTCCTTGGCAATGACCTTTGCCGATCCCTCTCCTAAACCAGGCTTTCTTCTCTCCTAAGGCTGCTCCATACCCTCTTCCCCCATTTGTTTCCCAAAGCACCCTATTAGTTTGCATTTCTGCCTCTCTCACTGGGTTGCAGTCTCCCTGAGGAAAAAACCTGGAGCTGATTCCTTTGTGCTCTCTGTTCCTTCAATGGACTGGACCACAGTAGGGCTTTTGTTTTCATGATTGCCGCCTTGTTTGGAAACTCTAATACTTCATTGTGCTTCTGTGATCACGTGTCTATTTCCCCACTCCTATAAGGGAATGAATGAATGCCCTTTTCTGAGTCATTTCGTGTCCACCTTCTTTCCTGGTTCTTTCCATCACTCTAGACTGTCTTAAGCACTGCTGACCTCTGTGTGATCCTGGACTCTACTTCCCTCTTCCTCACTCCCCAAGGCAATCACGTCTTTCCGTCTAGAAAGACTTTAACTAGAAAGTAACTTTCAACCCACTGAAGCTGCAGTGGAGGAGAAAGAGCCTGGGAATGGGTGGGAATTGGGCACAACTAGGATAGAAATTGGAGCTGGAAATCAGGACAGGACAGGCCCATTGTAAAGCACTAGTGTGGCCAGAGGCCCAGGTGATGGCTGGCCAAGAGAGCAGCTCTCTGGCCCAGAGCAAAGCTTCTCCTTTGAGTCAGCAGAGCGGGAGGGCCCCTCGTCCAGGAGAGGCACCCTTGGGCAGGCCCTGGAGCTCCTGGATCTGCTCAAGAGGCAGACTTTGTTGGTTTAGTTCCGCTACAAGGCTTCTGTCCGTGCCTGAGCTGTTATAGCCTACAGATTCCTAGTACCCATCTGATTGAACAACTTAATTAAAATGCAATAAAAGGAAAGTGGGCCAGATGTGCCCAGGGAGAGAAGGCAGGCAGCTGAGTCCACTGTCTGCCTTCTGAGCCCTGTGCCTTTCCCATCCTGTCTAAAGGCTTCCTGGGCAGGCTGTGGCCAGGGAATCCTGAACTCCAGAGTCACGCACAGAAGACTCTTAAAGGTTATCTTCTCTGTGAGCTTGTTCGTACTGATGAGAGGGAGAGAGGTCCACCCAAAGCTGCTCAGTGAGACATTAGCAGAGTCTCTGGGAGGCTAGGACTACCCAGTACTTCTCTCACCAACCAGGTAGGAGAGCAAATGGTTTGGAAACATCAGACCCTTGTTCTCAGGGAGCACTGTCTCCTGTCTGTTTGTTTTTAGTAACAGCTGTGTGGAGTACAATTCACCTACCATACAACTCGCCTTTTTAAACTGTACAATTCAATGGCTTCAGTAGATTTGCAGGGTTGTTCAGCCATCATGACCATCAATTTTAGAAAATTTCATTACTCCCAGAAGAAATGCAGTGACCGTTACCCGCGGTCCCCAATCTCCCCTTTCCTTCCACCCCTGAGGAGCCACTAATCTACTTTCTGCCTCTACGCATTTGCCAATTCTGGACATTTCATATAAATGGAACCATATTACGTACCTTCTTTTGTGGCTGGCTTCTTAATATTTAGCCTAATGTTTTAGAGATTGATCCATATTGTATCAGCACTTCGTTCCTTTTTATGGTCAAATAATATTCTGCCATATGCAAATGCCGTATTTGGTCTAGCCATCAGTCGATGGACATTTGGGTTGTTTCTGCCTTTTTGCTATTTTGTATAATGCGACCATCAATATTTGTGTACAGTTTTTGTGTGGAAAGGTGTTTTCAACTCTCTTGAGCATATCTCTAGGAGTAGACACCCACTTGCTTTTCCCTCTCATTCACAGTATCAGTAACTATACCAGTGGAACTCCTAAAGCATTACTGCACACATGGACTCAGAGGAGCTCAAGGACAGGAAGCTGGGTGTAGAGAGACACAGAGAGGTTAATTGCTTTGGCTCTGGTCACATAGCCATAGGACAGGGCCAAAGAAGAGATATCATAGTTGGAATTCATGCCAATTAGCCTACAAAACTTTTACTTTAGGAAAAAAGCCCTGGAACATTTTAAAAATCATACACATACTCACATGTAATGGCACTTTAATTTTATGCATCAGTTTTTTAACTGGGCCAGGTCCTTTTTTTGTCTATCTGCCTTTCCTAGGTACCCATAGAGACCATCACACTCCCTGTCAGTGGAATTAAGTTCTCCTCCCACTTCCCAACTGTTTCACCTCATCCTCACCCAGCAGAGGGTTGGTGCTGTAGGCAGTTTCGGAGCCTGGGGGGTGGAGGCTCCTTAAAGGACGCTCTTTCATCACAGCTGCAGTCCTCGGAGCTCTGCGTGTGGCAACGTGGAGCCACACTGTCCTCCCGTACTTTCTGGGCACGTTGGCCTGCTCAGTGTCTGTCACCAGATGGGTGCATGGCTAAGAGACTGGAGTTGCTCTGGGCACTTAGCAGGTTGAATTGTATGAAACTGTCAACATTTATTAATTTTTGATCTACTGAAATAGCAATCTCATGTGGTTCAAACTGCGTCTCTGGTGTCCTACTGTCTTCCTCCCAAAGGCCGGATCTTGTGCCCTGAAAACCTTTTTGCCCCTCCATCCCAACTGACCTTCCTCTCCCAGCCTTCCACAGTGGCCATGCTCCAGCTGCTCAGTCTCGTGCCTGAAAACATGGGTAGCAGCAGTGGGAGAGCTCTGGGCCAGGAGTCAGGAGACCTGTGCACTTGCTGCCTATCTCCCCACCACAGGGCACCCTTCCTCAAACTCGCCCGCCAATGAATGCCTCCTAAAGGCACAGATCTGCTCCACCCACACTCTACTTCAAATCTTGCGATGATGCCCCACCACCTAGTAGACATAAAGTACTAACTCTGCAGCCTGCCCAGGAGACACAGCCTCAGCTCCTACCCCTGGCTCTTTGCTCCAGCCACCCCCAACTGCGTGCAGACTCCTGCAGGCACCTGTGCTATCCCACCTCTAAGCCTCTCACCTGGAAGAATTTGTGCACCTCCTCCACGCAGCTACTTGTGACTTACCCTTTCAGACCATTCCCAGGAGTCTTCCCTGAGCCTCCAGGCTGTAAGGAGCTCTCTCTGTTTCCATCTACCTGTACTTTGGTCTCTGCAGGCACTCGTCATCTGTATTTTAAGCATCCCTTCGTGTGTCTATCCCTGTCTGTCTCCCTCTCAAGCCTGTGAACTCTCGACATTTCTACCAAATTCATACTTCAGCCTCGGTGGTCAGGATAGGAAGAGTCAGCCACCTCTCATTTAAGAGACATGGGCAGTGTTGATGGTGACTGAGTTTTGCCATATGCTGGAAATGGTCCATAGGCTTGGGCCCGGCCTCTTGGCCTTATCTACACTTCGTTTGCCTCTCAGGAGCAGAGGGGGCTGATTCCGAGGGCTCTTTCAATTTTTATCACCTAAGGAACGGGGCTATGAATCCTTAACTCCCAGGACTCTCATAGGGATCCCGTGTGGGTCCAAAGAAACTGATGAGACACGACTGTTTACATGGAAAGTTCCAAACATTTTTGAGGAAGATTATTTTGTTGTTTTAATTCAGCTACTGTTTGCGGAGCACCCACTAAGCGCATGTCAGAGTTATGGATACAAAGTCGGACATACTAGCTTCCCTGGATTCTTTTGCCTGCTGCCTTCCCAGCTGGTCTGGGGGTGTCTGCCCTCTCTTGACCCACTCGCTGTTCACTCCCACCAAAATCTGCGCATTAGATGCACTGGGATAGTCACGTCCAAGTGTCCAAACCCGCCACTGCCCGCCTGGTCCACGTCCACTTCAGAGCCCGAGGTTGACTGAGCAGGACCTCGACCCGGGCGCCCTCTGGCGGCCGCATACGGAAGCTACGGCCCGGCTGGGAACGCGCGAGGGGAAAGGGGAGGGATGGGGGAGGAGGAGGCGCGGGCAGGGGAGGAGAGGAAAAAGTTGCACTGGGAAGTTTGGAAAGTTGGGAAGTGGCTGCTGCGGGCTTCGCCTCCCTCCGCGCGTGTGCGAGGGAGCGAGCAAGGGAGCAAGAGAGGAGCGAGCGAGCGCCTGCCATGCCCATCAGACCCCGCCTCGCCGCGCCCGGGCGCGGAGCTCGCCCCGACTCCCTGCGGCCCGGCCCGGCCCGGCGCGGCCCCCCGCCCCCCGCGTCCCGCGCCGGGTCCTCCCCTCCCCCCGCCCCGGCGGCCCCAGCCCCCCGCCCGGCCCGGCTCCGCGCCGCTCTCCCGCCCTCCTCTCTCCCTCCCTCCCGGCCGCGGAGCAGCATGGCGGAGCCCGGGCAGCGGCCGCGCGGCCGTCCGCCGCCCCTCTGAGCCCGGCTCAGGGGCAGCTGGGCACACAGATCCGACCCCCGCCCCCGCCGCGCCCGCCGCCGCACTTGTCCCACTGCGCGACCCCTGGAGTGCGGCGCACCCCTGGGACCTTGCGCGCCCCGGGTCGCCAGCATAACCCCAGGACCCCGCGCACCGCGGGATCCCAGTACTGCCCCAGGAGCCCCGCGCGCCCCTGGACCGCGACACCGCCCCGGGACCCCCGCGAGCTCTCAGAACCCCGGGGCTCGGCCCGACGGGGCTGCGCGCCCGGGTGAAGAGCTCCGCCCCAGAGGGTACCCCTCTTCCAACTGACGGAGCCCCGCCCCCGAGGGAACCCCAGGTTCGGCAGGGACGTCCAGCCACGCCCCAGAGGGCTCCCAGCATCCAGCCACTGGAGCCCCGCGCTCCAGAGGAACCTCGGTGCCCAGCTGGGGGCTCCCCGCCCCGCTGAGGGGGCGCCGCCCAGGAGGGTCCCCCGCGCCCCGCGGGCCCCGGCAGGATGCACGCCGCCCTGGCGGGACCGCTGCTCGCCGCCCTCCTCGCCACCGCCCGCGCCCACCCGCAGCCCCTGGACGGAGGACAGTGCCGGCCGCCCGGATCGGTGAGCGAGCGCCTGCCCGGCCACTCTCCCGGCCGCCAGGGCACTGCAGCCCCGTGGGGACGGTGGTTTGGGGTTCTGCCTTCCGCACCCACCTCAGCCCACCCGCTCCACTTCTGCCCGCCGGTGCCGCCTGGAGCGCCCTTCCCCAGTTTCTGGCGCCCGGGTCCCAGCTCCGTGACGGGAGCGGAGCTTGGGGCTCCCTCGGCCGTTCCCTCAACACTCGCTGACGCTCTCCGGTCTCGGGCTGTCCCCAACTTTCGGTCCTGCTCGAACGGTTTCTCTCTGTGCCCCTTTGACTCACTTTTTCTTGCTTTTACACTGTTTTCCCCTCCTGCTTTCTCTCTGTCCACTCTGACTCTCCATCCCTTGCCCTCTTTTCCCTGACTTTCCTCAGACCCGCCTTCTCTCGAATTCACACACCGCCCTCCCGCAGACGTCCCGCGTCCCCTGCCCTCCCACTCCGACCCGGGGCAGACTTCTCCCTGGTGCAGTTTCCCACTCTCCTCTCCCTCCCCAACGTAGGCCCCGGCACCCACTCCAGCAAATGCCCCCATTTCACAAAAAAAAAGGGGGGGATATTCCAGAGGAGAAGGAAGGCAGTGCCAGGAAATGAATGCCACCCTAATATTTCCTTGGGGTCAAGTAATTATTGGTTCTCCTAATTTTCCTTCCAAACCAAGGAATCTCTTGATTTCCCTCAGTGTCCTCCCTCAAAGTGTTAATTAATACGTCGAAAATAACCCTGAATTGGAGGCCGGGGGACCAGGGGATGCTTTTGTAGGGTCCTCACCTGCTGCCTGCTGCCTCCTTTGCAGAGAGGTAGTTGACCTTGGGCAAGGTGCACCTCCAGGTCCTGACTCCTGCTGAAATAGGGAACTCTGTGGCCTGCAGGCGCTCGGAGCGGGTCTGTATCTCCAGTATGCTGGGATTTACAATTGTTGAGTGTAGTAAAGTAAGGTCCCATCCCCACCACCCACGCCCAAACATACTTTTCATTGTGCTAACTAAAGTCAGGTAGGAGAAATGTTATGCGTTGGCCTGAAGCTTGCAGGTGCCACGTGGACAGACAGCCCTGGGGCTTCCCTAGATGGGAAATGACTTGGCCTGTGACAAATGACAGTTGCTTTCTCATGCCCCTTCACCCCCAGCCCTAAACTGGACCCGGAGAAATGACCCCTCTTTCCATGCCCCTCTGTGTTCACCCCGATACACACTCTGGTAAGAGCTTAGACGAGAAATGACAGAGAACTGGTGTTGGAGACCAGGAGTGCCTATTTAGGGGAGCAGCCCAGAAAGCGCCCAGAATATGGACATTTCCCGATTGGATGGCATCCTCCTCTCCCAACCCAGGGGCCTGAGACTTCACTTAGCCTGCAGCTTTTAAAGCACTTTCTCCTCTGTGGTTTCAGCTGGTGGAGCAGAGTAGCTGACACCCAGATCTGCCCTCCAAAAGGAAAACTGTATCCACACTGGTGAATGGGAAGTTGCTGTTTAAATAGGTGTGCTATTTTTAATGGGTGTTCTGCTTTCAAAGTGCTCTTGGCAAGTATCTTCTAATGGTTGGATTTAAGTTATATGACTTCCTCCCTTCTTACCAGAGCAGGACTCTTGCTCCCCCTCTCCCCGCACTGCCCATGAAACGCCACTGGTGAAGGTTTGGCTTGGCCAAGCATGAATGTTCTCAGGTGGTGTGGCAGACCTTGGCACGAACAGTGAAAGCTAATCATAAGTAACGAGGGCTTCCTTCATCGCCCCTTCCTCTGTGCCTGGCAGTGCCCTTAAGACTTACTTAGATAATAGTGTGTGTTTTTATACTCTCATCGACCCCTCGGCTAGGTGCGCTCGCCCTGCATTTTGCAGATGGGGAAACTGAGTCTGCGGGAAGTGAAACAGTGTGCTCAAGGTCAGACAGCCAAGACAGGGCAAAGCTGGGATTGGCCCGGGGGCCTTTCAGCTTCCGAAGTCCTTGCTCTTTCCCATGACCCTGTGTAGGTGTCTGCCTTCTGTCCCCACCTCTTCCTGCCCCCTCCCTCTGTGCTGACCTTGGTTTGCTCTGCTGCCATTGGCCTCACTGCTTTCCTGTTCCTCTCCCCTTGCAGCAAAGGGACCTCAACTCCTTCCTGTGGACTATTCGGCGAGACCCCCCGGCCTATCTGTTCGGTACCATCCACGTCCCCTACACGCGCGTCTGGGACTTTATCCCAGACAACTCCAAGGCAGCCTTCCAGGCCAGTGCCCGCGTCTACTTTGAGCTGGACCTGACGGACCCCTACACCATCTCGGCGCTGGCCAGCTGCCAGCTGCTGCCCCACGGGGAGAACCTGCAGGACCTGCTGCCCCGAGAACTCTACTGGCGCCTGAAGCGCCACCTGGACTACGTGAAGCTGATGATGCCCTCTTGGATGACGCCCGCGCAGCGGGGCAAGGGGCTGTACGCCGACTACCTGTTCAACGCCATCGCGGGCAACTGGGAGCGCAAGAGGCCTGTGTGGGTGATGCTGATGGTGAACTCGCTCACGGAGACCGACGTGCGCTCCCGGGGCGTGCCCGTGCTCGACCTGTACCTGGCCCAGCAGGCCGAGAGGATGAGGAAGAGCACGGGGGCCGTGGAGCGGGTGGAGGAGCAGTGCCACCCACTCAATGGGCTCAACTTCTCCCAGGTAGGCACCAGGCCCTGCGCACCCTATGCTGGGCAGCCCCTGTGCGTTTTTGTCCTCTGCCATGATGGTCTTCCTTCTCTGGCAGCCGGAGCTCTGTCCTTTCCCCAAAGAAAGAAGTCTTTTGGGCTGTGGAGAGGCTCTCCAGCTGCTTCAGGGGTGGTATGTGGGCAAACTGGTATGCGCTGGATTGGGGGTAAGAGTTTGGGTGTTTGCTTCCCTTTCAGTGGTGTTACCTGTGGGGGGTATACACTCCCCACCTGCTGTGCTTGCCTGAGCGGAAAGAATTTCCCTGGGAGCATCAGAGTGATGAAAAACAAAAAGAGGGAGCTGAAAGCTTGCGTTGGAAGCCCTGGATCTCAAGAGCAGGCGGCTGTTCTGAGGCTGGAGGCAGCAGCGTGTAAACAGAGGACGCAGAGAGGGAGACACGGTGCCGGGCCTGGGGGCAGGGCAGGTGCAGAGAGCGAACCTGGTGTGTGCAGCCCGCTGTTTGACCTTAGCCCTGTCGAATTTTCTGGACCTTTGCAAAGTGCCAGCCGACCCTCGGACTGCCTCCCTGGCCTGGGAGAAAGCCAGCCAGGATAGTTTTGGGGTTAATAATTTCAGAGAAATGTGTTCACTTACAGGTTGACAGTTCTGATTTCTGAAACTAGAACTGGGGGCAGGGACAGGGGAAGAGATTCAGAGGTTTAAAGTCTCCGGCTGCCAGAGACCTGATCCAGCAAAATGTCATTAAAAGCCCTGTCCCCATGGGCAGAGGTCACTCGCAACTCACTGGCCCCAAACTCAACTCTGAGGCCCTGGGAACAATGAATTCACACCTGTGCCTTGAGGTCAGCCTGTCTGTCTGGGGTGGGGGCTTGCATCAGGACCGGTGGCTCCTGCTCCAAGGCCCCGAGACTGGGCATGGTCTGATGCCCAGTGAGGAGTGAGATGTGGCCCCAGAGACATGGTGCCCTCTCTGTTAAGGAGATGGTCCATAAATTGGCTGGGCCAGAAACTGCCACTGGGACCAGAACAGCTTGCTGCTCCAGAGATGTTGCAAGCTCTTTACCAGGGCAACAGCAGCAGAAACTGATCCCCCTTCAGAGATCTCTGGCCTTTGTTTTTCCAGGGGAAATGCAATATTGTCCCCAGGGAGGTAAGAAGCCAGATTGATCTGCCGGCCAAATGAAAGGCGGGTTTGTCGGTCCTCCTGCTGGCTCCCCCATAATTGTGGAGTCCTTACCCAGAGGGCCCCGGCGGCAGGGATATTGGGGCAGTTAGTCACGCCCCGCAGGGTTCTGACTACGCCTGACTCCTTCTCCATGGGGGAAGATCCTGTGCATTCTCTGGCCCAGCGCTGATTCCTCTGAACATACCGGCTTTCTCCCTCTGAAGTGACTTTTCCCTTGCCAGCCTCGAGAGCTGATATTATCTGCCTTGGGCTCCCCAGTGCTCACCGCCCATCTCATTCTGGAGGCAGGCTTGTGAGGGGCCTCCTGTTCGGAGGCCTCACGACTGGCCTCGACATCTCTTTTAGGCTGGGGAGGTCAGGGACCCGCGGTCCCCCTCAGCCCCCTCTCTGCACCAACCACAGAGGAATCCACAAGAACTGGAGGGAGCACACACAGGCTCTGGTTAAACAGCCCCTGGCTTTAATCTGTCTCTCTTAAAACAACAAAACTATCTTTCTTCGGGGTCTGGAAACACTGCTGTTCAACCAAATGATGGCTTTGGTAGGTCGAAAACATTTGCTGGGAAGTGTGTGAGGTTATGTTTTAGGAAAAGTTCCTGAGAGCCATTCATCGGCCAGTGAGGAGCCCGCTGACAGTCTCCAAAGCCCACGTTTGAAGATCAAACGGACTCAAATCTCTGGTTTCAAAAATGCGCCCACCCCATCACCAGCCTGAGCCCGCTCTTAAAATCGTTCCTGGGTCCAGATCCTCGCGAGGGCTGCAGGAAGCAAGTCCCAGACAAAAGAAAACAGGGCTCCTCTTGGTTCCCCTAATCTCCACACCCCTCACCACCTGCTAGAGTGTCCGACCCCACCAATTTGTCCGGTTATCATTTTAGAGCGAGGTGGTGAAATCTCTCCTCCATCCCCATGGACAGCCCTGGGCCAACTGGGAAGGGAGGGGTTCCAGAGCTGGTGTGGGTGGGGGTTGTTAGGGATCCCCCACCCCAAAGTCAGAAATGCAACAGCCTTCTCAGTAAAATTGTATGCGCGCGTGCACAGTTTGATATGAACATCTGTGATGCATTATTGTACCAAAATATCTGTTAAGTGCATCAGATTTTTATTTTTTTCTTTCCTCTCAGCATTACTGTTATTGCAAAATATTTGGGGGGGGGGTGGCAATGAAAGAAGAAGGCGGGAAATAGAAGCCTTAAAAGAGAGTGCTTTTGTTAAGACCTGGGATTTTAGTTTTAATTTGAGTATTTCTCAAATTTTTATATTTTCTTCTGGCCAGAAATACCACATTTTTTCTTGTTAAGTGGGGAAAGGAAGCTTACATTTGGAACTCTGTGGGTTGAGGAACGACTGAAAAACTTTCTTCCATCTCCGAACAGCTTGGAAGACTGGGCATGTTGGCTGTAGTCTGTGATTTTAATATAAACTGAGCGAAACCCAGCATGAGCATAAGTTTGCTGTGTGTCCTTGGGCAAGTCATTTCCCCTCTCTGGGCCTTGTTTTTCCCCGTCTGTGAAATGAGACACCAGGATGAGGTCATCATGCAAGTCCCTTCCAGCCCTGACATTCCGTGGGACGGTTATAATCAATTCCACGTGCCTGGCACTCTGCAGGAAGCTCCATATGCTTTTCCCTTTTGTCGGATTCTCACAACCCTGTGGTTTTCTAAGGTGAGCAGTCGGGAAGGTTGGAGGACTTGCCCAAGGTCACATGGTTAACAAGGAACAGAGCCAGCCTGCCTGACTCGAGAGGAAGGGTACACTCCTCCTGCCACCCCGTATGACTAGGTATTTTGTGTCCTCTTGTGATTCTTCCTTTAGTCCTTTCTTGTTTCTTTCTGCCCTTAGGACTTGAGGGCTTAAAAGTTTACTTCTTGGGAAATTCGTACCTGTAGAGAAGTTATTTCTTGTGGCCCTGGGGCTGGAGTCGGGGTGGTGAAGGCAGGCCTTCTGAAGATTTCCCCGCTGTGTTCCAGATAGCTCAGTGTGGTGGGATGAGAGAGGAGATTTGCCTCTAGATTTCAGTCCCAGCTCCTGCTCGAAAGCCGAGGACTCGTGTGTAACTGGTGTTCCTGTCTATCATACGGGGCAGCAGGGACCAGCCTCTCACAGCTGAGCTGGTTTGGGGAGGATGTGAGAAGACACTACGTGTGGAGATTATTGAGGAGGTAAAATGACTACCTAGATGTGGGTCTCGTGCTTGGAAGAGTCTGGGCCAGCTCCAGGCCGAGAAAGAGAGAAGAGAAGCCTCATCTCTGTCCTGTGAGCACCTTTGCCTAGCAGCCATGCCCACTGCCCATCCTTGGTAGAACACAGTGAAGCTGGAGTAATAAGGGGGGGGTGGCCCCATCCCTGAGGGGCCTGTGGGTACCTGAGCCTTAAGTCCAGATCTTATGACAATCTTGGGACCTGCAGATTTCAATCAGCTCTGTCAGCTGCCTCCAGGGACTGGTACTAGCTGCCACTAACTTGCGGGGCTGATCAGGAGACCTCCTTCCCCCTCTAGGGGGCCTCAGTCCTCCCCCACCTGTAGGTTCAGGAGCTGCGTGAGAGGCCCTCTTAAGTCATGTGTTTCTCTGAGGCATAAAGAGAAAACGAGGACCCTGCCTTCTGTACTTTGCTTGTTTTCGTGAATGTGGGGTGTGGGCAGAGCCCTAAACACTTGGGCATGGCTGCCGAGGTTATCCAGGATGTTCATAAAATAAGCACAGCCCCCCCCCACCAGGGGGTTAGAAACCACAACATCATCTTACAGTGAGCTCTGTCTCTCTACAGGGCACTACATTAGACCTTGTAAGTGCATCCTCTCTAAACGTCATAAAGATGTGACGAGACACACCATCATCTCTCTTTCACAGACAATAAACTGAGGCTTGAAAAGGTTAAGTCATTTGGTTGTGATTACACAGCCAGGCCAGGAGGACTCAGGGTTCAGACTCGGGTGTGTCTGGTGCCAGGATCCGTGCTGTTTTAGGCATGTGAGAGCTGGCGTGATTTTTGTTTTTAATAGTCAGAAGGCATTATCTGGTGATGTTAAGTGTGTGTGTTTGAGTGGTAGGAGATTGTCATATCTTGCTAAAAATATAATAATGTATATATAGAATTAGATAATTAGAAAGTGCCCACACTGATTTTCCCCTGGCTTATAAATTGGATTTGAAGGTGATTCTATAATTGGAATTCCCTAAGACATCCTCAGCTTGCCAAGGGACCATTGTGAAGGTGGCACCCCTAACACAGGCCCAGCAGGCCCAGTTAAATAACGGGGAGTCTCTTTGGTTTATAGTCAGAGCTCCCGTGTCTACGCCCTGCAGGGTCAGCATATATGATTAGGTGCTCAATTTAAGTATCTGGAGAAAGAATGAATGAATGGTCAGAAACCATGATACAAGTATCCCTGCTTCCTTTCCTTCCACCACCCAGCACTAGTGAATGGATGAATAAAGACTGCGTAAGTGAAGATCCCCCTCCTTACCTTAAATAGCTCCACACCTTCCTGCAAGAACACAAAGTGGAAAGTCATCAAGTGGGTTGCTCAAACACAAAGCAGGCTCCAGCCCCCCTGGCCCTATTCCTACTTTCCCTGTGACTCTGGGCTGGTCCTTTTCCCTCTCTGGGCTTCGGTCATCCCCTCTGTTCCTTGACAGTGTCAACTAGGGGATTTTCGGGGCTGGCCCAGTTCTGACTTTTGCGGTGCTCGTCTTTGGCCCCCGTATCTTGGCGACCTATTGAGCCTACGTCCTCTGCAGCTGGGAGGGGCTGGCAGTCTTCGGTGGGCTGCGGTGATACCCGATTGTCTGGAAGGCTGTTGGTTCTGGCGGGCGATCCTG